AAAAAAAAATGAAATAATAAAATAGAAAAAGACCTACAGTACTTTATCAACAATATCAAGACTACCAGACATTTGTACATCTTTTATTAATTGACCAGCTCGTTTTGCTAATGTTAATGATGCCGAAAGTACACGCATAAGTACTGGTATTGAATGACTTGCTGTCATAATTATTTTTATTTAAAAATCTATAAAGAATATAAACAAAAGACAATACACATTTACTTAACATTTAGTCATTTCGTCGTTTTTCTTGAACGACGAGTTTTCGTTTTAGATTTAGTGGTCTGTTTTTTTCTAGGTATTTCATCTTCATCATCATCATCATCATCATTATTATTAGTATTCATATACATCAACTGATTATATGCATCATCGTCATCATCATCATCATCGTCATGCATATATTCATCTTTAATAGAAGTTTTTTTTGTTGGACGATCAATCATTTCAGCTTTAGCTCGAATTCGACTTCGAGATTCACCAATTGATGATCGACGCTAAGAAAAATTAAACAAAGTTCATTTTTAAAAAAGATTTATTTAAAACTAATCATTTACTTTAGTTACTGTTTCGGGTTCTGGTTGTATTTCTGTTTGTTCATCAAGTTTTTCCATATCAAAACTTTTTTTTAATTGTTCAATAAAATTTGGTCGAATTGATGTAAATTCTTCTGGTAGACTATCAATACCACCATATGCTTCAATTAAACTATCTTTTGCTTTCGTATATAAGTTATGTGTTTCTTCACATATCTAAATTAATATTTTAATATAATAAATCTAATAAATGAAAAAAAAAAATTATATACCTTAACAAGTTTTTCATCAATATTTAAACGTGATGAAAGTAATACATCTGAACGCATATATTTTCCCGATTTCATATAATTGATTTTAGTAAAAAACCGAGGACCCATCTAAAGAAAGAAATGATGAATATATGTAAAACAAAAGAAAAAAAGAAAACATCAAACCTCATGGCGTGTTGCACTAATAACAAAAGCATGTTCATTAATTAGTTTACATAAAATAATTTTAGCATCCGATGGTACATCTCTTGATGATTCCATTTGATCAAGAAAAGAATTCCATGTATCTATAGTTAATCGAACCTTTCAAGAAAAAACCAAAAAAAAAAAATTTTTTTTTCGAAAGACAATTATGAATATTACTTTAACTTTTGGTTCTTCTATTTGATACATATATATTGTGAATAAACAGTAGAGTGCACCGAGTTGTATAGGTAAACGCCATGGTTCACCGAGATAAGCAGCAGCGACTGTCATTGAATCATCAAGAAACTATTAAAAAATAAATAAAATTTTACTATAATATTTTATTCTGAAACGAGAATACGAACGAATCGAAATGAATTTGGTTGAATATCTGCAGATCTAAATTAGGAGAAAAGAGTGAGTATGGATAAATAAAATTATAAAATAAGTACTTAAAAAGTAATTCAAGTTTATGTTTTCGCCATACAAATGCAAATGATTGATAATCATGATTAGGTTCTTGTTCAAAATCGTGTAAAAGAGAATCAAAATCCGATGAAATTGGAGGTAAGAAATTATATGTATAATATGCTGCCATAAATTTTGTTTGATGCAGTACAAAGTTTTCTTCTCTTTTTTGTTTTGTCTGAAATGAAATACGAAGTATGAATGGTGATTCATTCTCAATATTTCATTAGTTTCGAACAATCTATTCTTGTAGAAACATCAGAAAGATGTCACTGGATATAAAACTCACATTTACATTGGGAACGGTTGCTTTTGTGGAATATAAACAATAGAAATGGATTATACAATTTACAGACGTAATTCAAACATTAAAGAGCTAATGTTTTTATATTTCTCAAGTTTTTTCTTCATGATTATATAAAGAAAACATACCTCGTGGTTATTTAAAGGCAACTCTGAAATCTATAATCATGCCATAAGTGTTTCAGAAATGATGAGTAAAAAGTATGTCTTTACGTTAGTTAATTGCCATGTATATAGCAATGATTTGATCAAGGTGAAAACAGCAAGGAGTGCAGCTTTGAAAACTCATGACTCTAGAAGTTCATTGAAGATTACTGAAGTCTGCTGTTTCCTTTCGGATTAGACACTATGTAGTAGTATATGGCCCATACAAGACTGTCACATCCCAAATTTCGAGCTAAGTATACGAATTTCAAGTAACCTAAAAGATTGCTAGAAGTAAACTACTTAAATACGAGCAGTTTTTGTGACAAAATTTGTATTTGATGCTTTTTGGTGCAGGAAAAGATTTTTTCTGTATTTCACACAAAGGATAATAATAAATGAATTACTTTTCGATACAATTCTGCCGTAAGAATTAGGGGACGGTACGTTCTAGCGAATAAATATTACTTAGGAATACTAATTTCTTAATGTATGTGTGCATGTTTGTTTGTTTTCTATCAGTCTTTAATCAGTTTGTATTATAAATTTATCATTATATCAAATGTTTCTTTGGCTTCATTTGAACTAGTTTTTCTATGCATCGCATCTTTTTGAGTGTGAAATGGTACGTCACTGAAGAACTCAAGTTTAAACAATTATATAATAGTACTATGAATACTTTTTACTTATATAAAAACTTCTGTAGCTAAAGAAAAAACTAAGTTTTCCGTGACTTTCTACGAACATATAGCAGATTGTATCCAATGCGGAGAAAGAATGCTCAAATTGGGTAAAAAAAAGTGTGCCATAGAGGTACATATTATTCCATTGAAGACGATTTAAGCATTGTCACATAGCATGAACATTTATCGGTAAAAGTAAGATTCACCAATTGGAAGCATAGAACAATAAATAATGAAACAAAACGAAAAAATATTTGATATAAATTTTCAATTTCATATAAACACAGACTTCGAATAATAATCTTGTACATTTATCTTTTTCAATATTTTTGATTATAATATATGCAATTCAAAGAATACAATGGTTTATAATCAAGTTTTATTCATGTTAAACGACTAGTACACAGACATTTAAGATTACTTTGACTAATACTTATAAAAGATGTTTTACAATTAAATATCAACGTAAAGAAGGAGTTGATGTGAGTTTGAAAATTTTGTTCATTGAAAATCAATCTCAAATATTACTTCAATATGAGATAGGATTGAAATGTATGATATTATATTGTTACAAAGGCATATTATCAATTAGTTATGAAAAGACCAGTGATACGAATAGTAGAGATATAAACAGAGTTAAATTCTTTGTCAATCGAACATCTCTTCTCTATACGTTACAGCTTTATATAAGCTCTACACGTTAACTTCATAAGAAAAAGTTCTGTCAAACAGCTATTTTAATAATTTGTTACATAGCTATTTAAGCGCATTAATTATCGACATTGAATAACATGTCAACGAATTCAACTACTAGTATAAAATCCTCTGGAACTACTCATTCACCATTATCGTATGTTTCTTTATTTCTTATATTATACTATATTATATTATATTATATCATATCTTTATCTTAGATCATCATCAAAATTATCTGAAGAATCTACATTTGATATTGATTATTGGTCACGTTCATTTCTTGCACTTGTGTATCCAGTTTCATTTACTGTTATCATATCAGCTTGTTTATCAATATTTCTTTATGATCTTTATACACAATCAAATGTATTTGAAGATGCTGGTCTTATATTATCATCAAAAGGACCAAATGCAGCATCAATATCAAAAATAACTTGGGAATCATTTAAAATAGCTTTAATTATAATAGGTATAATTGCATTAGCAACATGTCTTCTTGTTATATTTGTTTATTATGGTTGTATGAAATTTTTATATATTTATTTATTTATAACTGTTATATGTGTTTTTTCTCTATTAAATATTTCTATATTATCAATGATAATTGCACAATTAAATTCTTCAATTGATTGGTTAACAATTTTATTTTTTGTTTATAATATATTAACAATTGCAATTTTATCTATGTTTTGGTTATCACCAAATCTAATTAAACAAATTATAACAATTTATCAATGTATTATTATGATATTATATGTACTTAAAATAGCACCAGAATGGATTGCATGGGTACTTTTACCATTACTTGCTATATGGGATATGATTGCTGTATTACTTCCATTTGGTCCACTTTATTTATTAATTAATTTATTTCAAAAACGTAAACTTCAAGTACCATCAACAATGGTATATACAACTGGTTTATGGTTACAAAATCAAAATATGAATAAATTAATAGTAAAAAATAAATTCCTATTAACAGAACAATGGTCAAGTTTAAATTTGATTTTTCTATCAAATAATACATATAATTATTTATATAAACAAGAAAATAATTTTAATATAAATTCATCATCAGATAAACAAATATTAAAAAAACGTTCAACACGTAAATCAATGTTAGGTTTAGGAGATTTTATATTTTATTCAATTCTTCTAGCTAAAACTGTTTTCACATCTGAATGTAATTTTTTTGCTATTATTATTGTTTATTTATGTATTATAATGGGTATGCTTATTACAACAATTATTCTTATTATATTACATCGACCATTACCAGCTTTACCTATTTCATTATTAATTGGTTTAGCTGTATTCTTTTATTATAATCATATTGGAAATCAATATGCCGATGCTCTTCGTTTACCAACTGGACCAATTATTATATAAACAAAAATTTCTTTTTTTTTTCTTTTCGTTACATAATTACAATACAGAAAAAAGTGAAATGATGATTGATAAAGGCAGTTCGGCAATTGATTAATCGCTTTTGAATCAAGACTAGGTGCATTATGTGAACTCAGATGAGTTATGGATACCCTGAATAAGAGTTCTATCTCATAGCTTATTTTGTGCCGAGATACTTAACTTTGACTCCTCAGGAACATCAGAATAACTGACTGTTGAATTTCGATTTGAAACTATCGGCCTTAACACGAATAGGTGTTTTTATGAATATTTCAGACCTTGTCGCTATTCCTATTCTAAGATATACAACAACTTAGGACAAAAACTTAGACGTAGGATAAGATAAAATCGTACGAAAAAATGTAGTCTCAGATATTTTACACTAAAACGTAGTATGCAATTCTTCAAAGATCTTATCATCGCATAAAGTTTCCTATTATTTTATGGTAATATATTATAAGGCAGCAAGATCTTTCAAGAATCTTATAATAAAACTGTAGCATAAAATTTCTGATACTACGATTTTCGTCTAATTGATTGTCTTGAGATGTCTATTATGTCGTTCATATAAAACGGCAAAATTGATGTTCTTATTTTATGATAGAAGCAGATCAAATGACTTGAAACATTCACAATAATCTACTCTTGTTAAGACTTGTCTCTATGCAAAGTTTTAAGTCATAATTCGAAAATCAATTTTTCTGATATTCTTAAGAGGGACCACAGAGTTCATCTAAAAAAATACCATAAAAATGCAATATCTCTGCAGTAATAAGCTAAGAACATGAACTCATTTCAGAGTATTCATAGTCTATTACGATCCACATTACATACATAGTCTCGATAAAAAGAAAAAACAATTTATCAGTTGCAAGACTTCTTTCGTAAGATAATCAGTAAACAATAGAAAATTTAATCAGGTTCTAAAAGTGATATGAAATGATATTGTGTTGTGAGATTCTTTTGATTATTTGTATCTTTTATTGTTAATTTGTTTATATTTATTGATTCGGGATTTTTAACTGTTGTTGATATTGTCATATCAGAAATTAAATCATTTCCTGATGAATGTGGTTCAAAGTTAAATTGATTATTGAAATAAAGTGATATGAATGGACATTGATCAAGAATAATTTCACATAAATTACGTCGAAAACCAAACCACCCTATGAAATCGAGAAACAAAAAATAAATGAATCTTTTATTTGATTGAAAACAAAAAGCATTTATTTCGATAATACAAACATGGATTAGTATCAGTAGCACCAAATGAAAAAGTAAGCCAAGCAAGTAATGCAATCCATAATGGTATAGCTATCACAGTAAATGAGAGTTTTTGAATTTGATCATTATCTTCATGATCTAGTCGATCAACCAGTAAAATCTTAATTAAAAAAGGATTCAATTTTCTGGTATTCATTAATTATAATCTTAACAAAAAAAAAATTCTATTGATGCTTATTATGATAGTTAGAACTTGATGGCATAGAATAAGAGTATCGTTACTCAATGATAGAATCTTATGATACAAATCTTGTTTAATATTTAAGCATCTGTATAATCCCTTGTTATTTTACAAAACATACTAATCTCTATAAGAATTCATTAATACTATTTTGTTTCATTTTCTTTTCAAATCTCTTCCTATAAATTAAATTTTAACAAACATACCGCGAAAATACTAAATGGAATAAATAAAATTGCATAAATAATTGCTTCCGTAATAGTACTTAATTCACGATAATTTGATAATACACGATGAGAACATTGATAAATAATAGCAACAATGAATTTTGCAATTATAAATAATAAGGCGACACATAATGAAATCCATACTGGAATAAAAACGACCTAGATTTAAACTAAAGCAAATATAATTTATATATTCTTTAAAACA